GCAATGGTAAATGGGAGTGTTTTCTTAATTTCACTTTCAGGTTTTTCATCATTAGTGTATAGGAATACAAGAGATTTCTGTCAGCACTTGTTCTTAGGCTTTCAGACCCAGACCAGGACTTTCACCATTGATCCCCCGGTTCTCAGGCCATTGGACTCAGACTGAGTTATGCCACCAGCTTTCCCGGGACTCCAACTTGCAGACGGCAGATGGTGAACTTCTCAGCCTCCATAACCACGTGAGCCAATTCCTAAAATAAAATTCTTTGGTTTTATTGGTTCTTTTTCCTTGGAGAACTGTGACTAATACTCCAGTCTAGAAGAAATATCCCACCTCAGGGGCACCAGAATCACAAAGGACAGAATCAGCTCCAGCCTGCAGCCACACTCCAGCTGCCACCCTTACACACCCCTGACCAATTATTCCTTGATCAGAAGTTTCCATCAGGAATGGATTTTACTAATCTTATTAACTTATTTTTCAAGGCCTCTTGAGATGACCAAATAGCTTTTCTCACTTGACACTTCCTAGCTGTATGGCCTTGGGACAAGTTGAATAAATTCTCTGCGCCTCAGTTTCTTCATCTATAAAATGGGAATATTAATAATCCTTATGTCATAGAGCTGTTGTGAGAATCAACTGAAATGATACACAGAGAGCACTTAGAAATGTGCACATAGCAAGAGCTCAACAGAATTTCTTTTGTAGTTGTCATAATTAGCATTCTTAAACCTTAAAAATAAGAACATTAGCATTTACACTTTCTCCTATCTTCCCCATTACCTGTATTGTTCTTTTTAAATCATTAGAGTTTATAAAATTTATTCTAACTAGATTTTCCATAGTTGTCTCATCTCAGGGGTCTATTTTAATGGATGAAACACTTCCTGATCATCTGCCCTTTCTATGATGGCTTCTTTCCTTCCTGGTTCTCTAGAGCTTTTCAGGAGAGTAGCTTATTCAATAATGGTTCACGAGTGCTCTGTCCCCTGAGTTCCTTCCAGCTTTAGAATGGTCACCTGCTGCCTTTGTACATGAATGACAAGCTAGCAGTTTATAATCTTCTTTAGTCTACATTCTCTTTACCTAAATTCCTTGTAGACGCTACTTGGTCATCTGTCTCACAGTAAATGTCATAGAAAAGTTGGAGAGCACATGATTTCCTCTTGTCGATTGCTTGCGCTTTTTGTCTTTGTTGTTAATGTAACATAGATGTTGATAATTTCCTTATCTTTTTTTGAAGCTAAGTAACTTCACTAGGATATGTCTGTGTTGATCGTTCTTCTTCAATTTTTCCTAAAATGCAAGGTACCCTTTTAAACCAAGGATTGGGGTCTTCCTTTATTTCTATTAAAGCTTTCTTTTTTTATGTCTTTAGATTTGTTGTGGTGGTTCTACTTTCTTCTTCAAGGATCCCAATTACCTGCATGCCAGATATCCTTTGTTATACAGATCTCTCAGTTTTTCCCTGATAACTTCCAGCTCTTTGTTTTTTTCCATTTTATCTTTTTTAATTTCTTTATTTTTTACGTATTTTATTTTTGGCTGTGTTGGGTCTTCATCACCACATGCGGGCTTTCTCTAGTTGTGGTGAGCGGGGGCTACTCTTCATTGTGGTGTGTGGGCTTCTCATTGCAGTGGCTTCTCTTGCTGCGGAGAACAGGCTCTAGGCACACAGGCTTCAGTCATTGCAGCAGGTGGGCTCAGTAGTTGTGGCTCACGGGCTCTAGAGTGCAGGCTCAGTAGTTGTGGTACACGGGCTTAGTTGCTCTGCAGCATGTGGGATCTTCCCGGACCAGGGCCTGGTCCCCGTGTCCGCTGCATTGGCAGGCAGATTCTTAACCACTGCACCACCAGGGGAGCCCTCTACTGATTTCTTAAAATCATCAATATCAGTATCTTTTCCCAAATGAGACAAGAACCTTTAGTATACCCTCATTCTCTTTAGTCTCTCTGCCTGCCTCTTAAACTCTCCGGATCTTGTTCAGAATGGCAGTATTTGGTTGGCATGTATTTTCTTTCCTCCTTTACTCTGGCCCAAGACTTTTAGACAATAAATATCAGTTCTCGTATGTTTTACTGCTGCCTCTGAGGTTTAGTTCTCTTCTCCTCTGCTGTGGTCCTACGTGCCTGAGATTTCTCTGTGGGTTTTCATGTCTACAATTTGGCTAAAGTCCAGGGTTATTTTATTCTTGCCTTTTCTATTTAAAAAAATGTGCCCTCATTTTCTTCTTGCATGCAATGTTGCTGTTGAGAAATCTAATGTAAGTCTGATTGACAGAGGATTTGTTTTTCTCTCTGGAGGCATTTGGAATTCTCTCTTTGCCTTTGGTATTCTTAAATGTCATTACGTGTCCATATGGGGATTCACCTGGTCAAACCTCAACCCTGTTTGTCACTCTGTGACGCTTTTGCTCTGAGATCTTTCCTTTCTTTCATTCCAATATATGTACTTTTATTATTTCTTCAAATATATTTTTTCTACTTCAGGTTCACCTATTATCCATCTCTTATCTCTTCTATTTTCACCTTTCCTATCTCTTAGCTTTTTTTTTTCTTTTTCTTTTAATATTTTCTCCTTTTTTCCTGCTGCCATCTAGGACGGTTTTTCATACAGATCAGCTCTATGTCATGCTTTTATTTCCTCTGGAGTAGTCTTCATTTCTACTTTTATATTCCTCATCCGTAACATTTCCACTTGGTTATTACAACTTCTTGCTACAGCTAAATATTATTAACATTTTCTCGTTTAGAGTATATTTATTTTGTTACTTAAAAATTGGGGTCCACACGTTCCAACAACTTTGCTGCAAATGACTTGGTTGAATGGTGGTCAAGGTGTTGTATCTTTTTGGTATCCTTCGGGGTCTGGTTGTTTCTGCCTGGGTATTCATGTTCCCTTGGGGTCTGGGAATGCGTATTGACAAGGGCTAAAGTCTAGGACCTAGCTGGTGTCTCTGCAGAGGATTTAATGAGGTGGCGGGGGAGGGAGCCCCAAGATGGAGAATCACAATGGGTAACCCTCATTTGCTAATACTTGCCAGCCTTGTTGTTCAATGTTCACTTTATATTTTTTATAATTCTTAATTTTTATTTTATTTTTGGCTGCATTGGGTCTTAGTTGTGGCTCACAGGCTCTTTGTTGCAGTACGTGGGCTCCTCTCAAGTTACGGCGTGTGGGTTTTTTCTCTCTCTAGCTGTGGTGCACGGGCTCCAGAGCACGTGGGCTCTGTAGTTTGCACATGCAGGCTCTCTCATTGAGACGCGCGAGCTCAGCAGTTGCGGCGCGCGGGCTCAGTTGCTCCACGGCATGTGGCATCTTAGTTCCCAGACCAGGGATTGAACCAACATCCCCTGCATTGGAAGGTGGATTCTTTACCACTGGACCACCAGGGAAGTCCCTTAATGTTCACTTTAAACACTCGGAAAGAACAGCCTTGGGATGAGAGAGTGGCCTTAGTTTTTAATCCACCAGCCATGGATCTTAGGGAGGGGAGGACAGGGAAGAGTAGACGCCCTGGGGCAGCTGGTCAACCACCGCTCACCACCCAGGGACAGGGCCTTTGCTCTGTCCTGGTCGTGCCCTACACAGGCACCTGCGGCCTGGCTCCTGCCACTCAAATCATGGCAAAGGAAGGGGGCCATGGTAGCCCCAAGGCAAAATGCAGGAGAGGCAGGCACAGAATGTCAGCTTCTAAGAGGAAACAGTCACATTATATTGCTTAATCCAGGTAGTGGCACATAAGGATGTGCTGTATTGTTTTTCATTATACTGCAAACATATTTCATAAAAAATCTTTTATATATACTTGGAACTTAGAGAAGAAATACCATCAAAACTCTATGAACAGGTATAAGTAGGATTTATCTTTCAATCAAGCTAAGTAAGGCTTATGGAGTTTCTATCTCATGGGGTTGTTTATTTTGTTCCCTACAATGCACGATTAACACTTGCTAGACAGCTCAGGATTTCAGATTTCTTGGTAGGTTTTTTAGGACAGACATCATATCATCTTCCCTCAAGACCTACTATACAGACACTTGATCAGTATGCATTAATCTCTTACTAATGGGCAAGGCTGTTCATCTAATAACTAATATCTATTAAGAGCTTAGTATATATCAGGAATTATTCTACACACTAAGAAATACAGCAGTGAACAAAGTCCCTACCTTCATGGAGCTTACATCTAGACAATAAACAAACAGGTAAACATATCTGTCAATGGTGATAAATGACATACAGAGAAGTAAAGCAGAGACAGAGACACAGAGGGACAGGGACAGGTGAGATGATGCCATCTTAAACAGAGTGGTTAGGAGAGACCTCACTGACAAGGTGACACTGGTTAGGAGGAAACAATGGAGCAGGTCATGCAGATATCAGGGAGAGGGTGTTCTAACAGAGGAAACAACCTGTGCAAAGGCCCTGGGGCAGAAGCATGGCCTGGTGTGATAGGAACAGCAGGACCTGGAAGACATGGGAGAAGTGAGTGGAGGGAGTAGGGTAGGGGATTTCCAGGGCCAGAGGCTGGGGTGCCAGAGGCTGGGGTGCCAGATGCAGGATTTCAGAGACCACGGTGAGGACTTTCATGAGCTGTGAATGACATGCAGAGCCTTGGGAAGGTTTTGAGCAGGAGCGACAGGGTCTGACTTAGGTTTTAAAGAGACCACTGTAGCTGCTGTGGAAATGGCCTTGGAACAGCCACTCATCATTGCTCAGTCTTTTCTTTTTCTGTTCTTAGCCCCTCTATTTGGATTAAATGATGACTCAGGTGTTGACAGTAAGCACTAGGGTCTGAGAACACAAAATAACCAACTCCCTATTTCACTGTTTTCATTCAACTGAGAGCTGTTTACTACTCCCTCCACAAACGTCTACACATACAGATCTCTGAGGCATCACTTGCTCTATTAGGCTGTAATTAATTATATGCACACCAATGCTCCCCATTAAGCCGTGAGCTCCTTTAGAGCAGAGAAATAATGGCACAGGTCTCCATGGTGCTCACAGACAGTTTTTATTAGCCAGAGTCCTGCCTTCTAGGAGATACACAGCCAACCAAGGCACCCAGCTACCATTCTGTTCTTGCTTCAGGGCTGATTCCATGGTTCTCACCTGGGATGGGGACTTCTGCAAAGCCGCTTCAACGCCTGGTTTCCACAGGTACAGAGAGCTCCATGTGAGGAAAGGCCAGACAGGGCCCTGTCTCCTCCACGCGGGATAGGACACACAAGCCAAATGGGCCATGCGTCGTGGAGCAAAAAGAGAGCCCTGAGCTGCCCCCTGGAGGCCTGGGCCCTTGAGGTTCCTCCTACGAGCCAGGCCATTGGATGGCTGCCTGCCTGCCCTCCCACACTGGCCAATCCCCAGCCTGATTGTACCCTATCTGCATTCAGTGTTACACACATGCTACAGCTGGATGCCTTCGCTTTCTGGGCTCTATGAGCTTTGGCTGCTGGAGTACAAGGACCAAGCATCTGAATAGAAGGCAAGGTGAGAACGTGTTACCCTGTGCTCTTCTCCAGGCAGCTCCTGGGTCGCACCCACCAGCCCCAGGAGCCTGTGACCAAAGGGAGCTGCTCCGCCCTGGGGTGGGAGGGGCCTGGGAGCAGAGCGCCCCAACTAGGAGTGGACCATCCTGCTGACGGGTCGTTTTTCTGTGAAGAAGCTTTTCAGCAGCAGCACCTGGCTGAAGCTCACCACGAAGAGCGCGATCGTCTCACCGACAGACCAGTAAGAGACTCGGCTGTTCAGGTCCTCGGCCCGGGCCCTGTCCTGGGCCTCCCGGAGCCGGTAATGCGTCTGGGAGTCAATCACTGTCTTCAGAGCCTCGTGGATGGTCACACAGGCGGACTCCATCTAGGCAGGAAGAGAAGAGCAGTCACTGTGAACCCTCAGAAAAGAAGAAGAGGACCCGGCACACACACAGCAAGTGTGATCTTCAACATCCTCGGTAATTTCTCCTGGATGCTAACTGTGTGTCTGTGCTAAGGATGTGACACGGCTGTATTCATAATAAGCCTGACTGAGGCTCAGAGAGGTTAAGTAACTTGTTCAGAGTCACACAGTTAGTAGATGGCAGAGTCAGGATTTAAACTCAACTGTCTGAGTCCTGAGCCTATGCTTTCAAATACTGCCCTGTGTTCTTATTTAATACTCACCATACCCCTGACAGGCAGGGATCATTACTCCCAATGTTAAGGAGGACTGACTGATTGCTTACTGCATATACTGATGAGGAAACTGAGGCTCAAAGAGGCTACATGACTTGCCCAAGGTCACACAGCTAATGAATGGCAGGGTGTGAAGTAAACCACAATTGTGTTGGACTCTGAGTTCATTCTATTAAATTTGCAGCCTACACTTCTATGTATACACAGAAACACATGAAGACATACATTTCTCATGTACATAGAACCACACTCACATACAAACATGTGCAAAGACAGACATGTGTGCACATGAATGTGCACACACACATGCATATACTCACACGTAACGCACACTACTTCACAACTTCCTTTACCTGCTAAAATATTACGTGTAGCATGCCGTATTCTGAATACATCCCACCCCCACTACCAAGGTCCCCTGCTCCAATCCCAGGAAGCTGTGAATGTGATGAGCTGCCACTCCTGTGATTATGTTATATGTCACAGCTGACCTTAAGAGAAGGGGGCCATCCAGTGGGCCTGACCGAATCACAGGGGCCCTTCAGAGCAGGGAGCTTTCTCCAGCTGGTGGCTGAAGGAGAAGTCAGAGAGGCTGGATTCAAAAGAATTCAGTGCCCCATTGCTGGCTCTCAAGATAGAGGTCACATGCAAGGACCAGAAAAAGGCCTCTAGGAGTGGACAGCACAACAGCCAACAAGGAAACAGGAACCTCAGTCCTACAGCTGCAAGGAACTAAATTCTGCCAACCACCTGAATGAGTGTGAGAGCAGACTCCTCCCCAGAGCCTCCAGAGAAGAGGCCAACCCAACCTGATTTCAGCCTTGAGACCCTGAGCAGAGAACCCAACTGAGCTGGCCCATGCTTAGAGCCTACAGAACGGTGAGATAATGAATGCCTGTTGTTTTCAGCCATTAGTAGTAATTATTGACTCAGCAATAGAAAACTAAGATATTACGCCTGTGAAAGAACATGTGTTCTTACTCACAGGCAACCTCTAAAGCAATCATTTTATCCAAAACCCAGCAAATTCTATCCCAACAATAAGTTCTTGTGCGACGGAAGTTCATAAGCATCCAACAGACGTTTGTTTCCCAAATTCCAAAGGTGAACTACTTATAAAGCTCAACGTAAGAAGCTAGAAGGGACCAAACCATTGTGTCACCACCTTGACGGATCCCCGTGAAACCCTCATTTCTCTCACAAATTGAACAGTTTCTGGACGCCAAAGGGGAGACTATGACCAAAAAAAGATGTTGCCCTTACTTGCTTCATAGATATTCTTGATTCTGGGCCATTCAAGGAGCTAAACTAGACTACGTGAGGAGAGAAAAGCTCCCCTTCAGCCTCTGTGTTGTCAAGGCAGCATCTTCTGTCTGACAACTGGTCTACCTCCTAGGGGTGTGGGTTTCCTCTGCACATGTTGGCTGACCCCCTCATTCTGATCTATAGGGAAGAGGTGGTGAAATGTCACGTGGAGGGAAAACTGACAAGGTCACTGTGTACGAGATGGAATTAGTGGACCTCGACTAGGCATCGGGTCAAGGGGCAGAATCCATTGTAAAGAACAAGAACAAGGTCGTTTGTGCTTCACTTTTTCCCCCAAGGGGAACCTTGATCCTGCTTTCTCAGTGACACCTGCGTGTCCTATTTTTGGGCTATATTACGGTCTTCTCTTGCGACTGGAGTTAGCATGGGGCTTCTTCGCCTTCCCCACATTTGGTAGGTAGGGTGTAGAGGGATACCTTGGAGATACTGCTGGTGTGTTTCCAGACCACCACAATAAAGCAAATGTCACAATAAAGTGAGTCACAGGGATTTTTTGGTTTCCCAGTGCATATAAAAGTTACGTTTACACTATACTGTAGTGCATTAAGACTGTAATAGCATTATGTCTAAAAAAAAAAATCAATGTACATACCTTAATTAGAAAATACTTTATTGCTGAAAAAAATGCTAACCATCATCTGACAACACAGGGTTGCCCAAAACCTTCAACTGTAAAAAATACAGCACCTGTGAAGTGCAGTAGAACAAGGTATGTCTGTACCTACAGATGTGTGATGTTGAGAAATGGACAAATGATCCTGAGAAGGGTTCCTGACATCAAGAAGTTGATTCCAAAGGGGACTCCTAAGTGACAACCGACTTCAGATGCCAACCACCAGAGGAGACCTCTCAGGGTACAGACCTCTGCACTGGAGACAACGGTGGCATTGCCCCTCCTCGCTCTCCTGGTAATGCTTCCAGAGTTGATGAAGGCATGTCAACTGTCACAGAGGAAGGAAGGGGACTAAACTGTGAAGGAACCAGGAAAGAGGTCACAGAGTGGAGTCAGGCTTAACCTACGCAAACCTGTGTCCAAGTGGAACCAAGGTATGGCATTTGTAGACGCTTCCCTACTGTGCCCTTCCAGTCACTCCCTGTGACCATGACACAGGAAGGTTTGGTAAGGCCATTAGTTCTATATTTATAGCACCCTGGTGATCTTCGGAAGACCACGGTTATTGAAGGTAGGGCTGGGGAACTCAGGAGAGACGCCTCTCAAAATGACACTACAGGAATTCCAAATCATACTCGGTTTCCTCTGATAGCCCAAACTACACTAATTCATTCTTTCAAATGTTTATTTATTAAGTGCCTACTCGCCTTCCAGACATTGTGCAGGGCCCTAGGAACTGAGAGATGAAATGAGTCAGACACAGTCCTGGGTCCCAAGAAGGTCATAATTTAGAGAATGTTATCAGCTTCCTGCAATGCCAAAAGAGCTAACAACAGAGGGGTGAGCGGAGCTGTAGGAACACCTCAGAGAAAGCTGCTAATCCTGCCAGAGATGGAGGCGTACCTGACACAGGGAAGAGATAAACTGAACCTTGACAGATGGGCAGCATGTCACCAGGCAGAGGATGAGGGGAAGGCATTCCACGCAGGAAAAGCATGGCAGGGCTTCCCTGGTGGCACAATGGTTAAGTATCTGCCTGCCAAGGCAGCGGACACGGGTTCGAGCCCTGGTCGGGGAAGATCCCACATGCTGCGGAGCAACTAGGCCAATGCACCACAACTACTGAGCCTGCGCTCTACAGCCCGTGAGCCACAACTACTGAGCCTGCGTGCCACAACTACTGAAGCCTGTGTGCCTAGAGCCTGTGCTCCGCAACAAGAGAAGCCACCGCAATGAGAAGCCCGCGCACCACAAGGAAGAGTAGCCCCCGCTCGCCGCAACTAGAGAAAGCCCGCGCACAGCAACGAAGACCCAACGCAGCCAAAAATAAATAAATAAAATAAATTTATTTTTTAAAAAAAGGAAAGAAAAGCATAGCAAAGAGCACATGCAGAGCCCAGTATGTGCAGCCCATCGGGGATATGTGGGAAGGAAGTCATGGGTAGGTGGAAGCTCACGGTAAAGGCCTTGAGAGTCAAGACTTTAACACGAAGCTCTGTGAGCAGAAGATTGGCAAGGCAAGGATCCCACTTTAAGAGAACTTCCCTGCCAGCCATGATGCAGAGGCAGACTGGTGGTGGGGTAACCACTTTGGTGGCTGCAATTCTGCTGGGGAGAAAAGACGAGGCCCTCAATTAAGAAGGTCACCAAGTGGGGTGAGAAGAGTGGATCTGGGAGCGATTCAGGGGACTCGGTAACAAAGTAGAGAAGATCGTTCTTGAAATTAGTGGGATGAACAGAGATACACATATACATGTGTATACACGCACACGCATGCCCGTGTGTCTGTGCATGCATATGCATGTGTACACACAGACATACATACACACATGTTTACAATGTATAAATACACAGAGGCTTTGTTTTTAAACACTAGGGAAGGGCTCACTGGTTTTCCAGGCTAGAATTCCACCCTCCGTGTTTATTTCCATCACAAGCTCATTCAGAAACTCAAAATGTACATTACACTCACTTGAACTGGGGGCTCCTGGGACCCCTGAGCCCTAGCCCAGGCGTTCAGCAGTATAGGCTGGTACCTCCAGCCTCCTCCCAGGGTCCAGAATCACTGGAGAAGGAGTGGGGGTGGGGGTGGGGGGGTGGGGGGGAGAGAAACGGAGGAGGACACAGAAACCACGGGTGCCGACACCCCGGGCAGAGGACACATCAGATATGCCACGCAAGGCATCACTTCAAAGACGTGGATCAGATGTCATCAGCCAGAGACCAGCACTGCACTTCTATGAAGAGGGCCTGAGGTCTTTACAGGAACCACCTCAGATCTGATCAGTGACAGGGAAGGAAGCCAGTTTTCAGGAGGTAACAGAGCAGGAGGTGGTACTCTACGGCTTTCCTGGCGTCTAAAACCAGGAGACACCTTTAGAACCTGGCACGGGCCTCACAGGAGACCCCAGGGCCACACATCACCAAGATTCACAGACACCTGGAAGCATCCCCTTACTGTAAAAACATGCTACTTCCCTGACCACTGGGATCTGCTGTTGGCGTTAGTCTAAGATACCACTTCAGCTTGTTCCCACAAAATTTCAGTTAGGCAACCCAGCCAGCCTGCTTCCTACCCAGCAGGAAGCCAGCAGAGGCCCTTCTGTTGCAAAGAGCCCTGTTCTCCCAGGGCCATGGGTCCCCAGCTCTCCTGCAGTGCAAACTTCACCCTGCTGAGACCTCCAGCCCTGGCTGGTTCAAAGTGTCCGGGCACCTCACGGGGATCGTGGGCACCACTCCATCATGACAGGTAGTCTCTGGAGACACCCTGACCTGTCTCCCTCCCAGGACCATCCCTTTGCTCCATCCCATACCCACATCCCATCCCGTCTCTACCACCTGCTGATGCCCAGGTCTTCACTCTGTAACCAGCAGCAAATTCCTGCAGCCTCACCTCATCAGGACCACCACGGATAGAGGCACTTGGCTCTTTTTTATTTTATTTTATGTTTTTGGCCGCGCAGCACATGGGATCTTAGTTCCCCCAACCAGGGATCGAACTCGCACCCCCTGCAATGGAAGCGCAGAGTCTTAACCACTAGACTGCCAGGGAAGTCCGCACTTGGTTCTTTAAATTCTTCAAGAGCTCAAAGGCAGCGTTGCAGGAGCTGGCCTCAGAGTAGAGTTAGGAAAACCTTTAATCTTCCCTCGACCACCACTGAGGCAGCCCCGGACCTTGGACCTCTGTCAGGAACCTTCAGCCTCCGCTAGGATCTGCCCAGACTCTCAGGACGCCCAGGGCACCTCAAGGTTGGCCTCCCTCAGCAGCATCTCTAGCCCATGTCCTCTGCCAGGAGCCTGGTCGTGCTGCAACTCAGGCCGAAGACAAGTCCCTCTGGCCTGGAGCCCTGGCCCGGGACGCGGTCACTCTGGATCCTATTCTTTCACCCTGGGGCTGCTACTGGTGCCAGAACACACAGCCTCTGGCCCAGCACTGAGCCGGAGGAAGCCTCAGGGGAAGAGAGAAGACAGCTGCAGGTAGAAAGGGGATCCATGCCAAGCAAAATAGGATCAGGGCCGGTGAGGAAAGTAAAGTGATGCCCTGAACACCTGCACCTGCTGTTCTCCCCACCCAGGAGGCCTCTCCTCCTCCCGTGCCAGACACACTCCCAGGCAAGCACCCAGAGTGTCGCTTTAAGCTAAAACTCTCCCTGTGAAGACTTCCCTGACCCTCCTGGAAGAGTCAATTGGTCCATCCCCTGACAACCCTCACCCTTAAATCTCAGCTCTGATCAGAGCATCCTGGAGCTCCGTGGTTTACAGGGTCGCATTCCACACAGGGCTCCTGACAGCTGGGACAGCGCCCTCTGACCTCATACTCCCACCACCCAGTACAGTGTGCAGACTGAGCACGGGCCCACCACAGGCGAGGGGGAGCTGTCTGAGACAGGCACAGACCAGGCAGGGGGGTCAGAGGTACAGAAGGAGAAGGAAACAGCTCTTTTGTGGCTGGGCAGAAGGAAGGATGAGGTTCCCAGATGCAGAAGAGGGGAAGTGCAATCACTCCTTCCTGCAACAAAACCAAACTCTAATTCTAAGGCTCCAGGAAAGAACGTCTCTAGTGCACTAATCCACAAAGCCTTTTCTCTACTGGTTTCTTTTCCACTGCTTAGAGAGAGAAATCCTTCAGCTCAGCTTCTGGAGACTCATAAAATCTTCAAAACAGAAGCTATTTCATCAACGACCAACGAGAGGACAGGTTATGAAAGATCCTACACAGAAGACACACCCTGGGCTGGAACTTCTATCAGCAGTCATGCCGCTAAGTTCAAACGCACTGCTGTCCAGTGGAACTGTCCATGCGTGGGCACCAGCCACTTGTGACTACTGAACACTAGAAATGTTGGTACAGAGCAAACAAGGAAGGGAATTTTTAATTTAATTTTAATTAAATGTCAACAGCCATATGTAGATAGCTGTTACTGACCGGACAGTGCAGTGCTAACCTCCAAGTGCTCAGAGAACGAGCCCATGGTCAAAGCCACAGAGGAATGGAGCCTGTGGTCACCTTGGAGGGCAGCCCAGAAGGTAATCTGGCATTGCTGGAGACTCAGATGCTCCGGCTTTGGGTGTGGAACAGGTGCAGCCACAGAAGGTCATTCCTGTCTCACAGGTTTCCCTGGGTCCTGCCACTCAGTCATTTGATAACTATTTGGTGAGCTCTTAGTCTGTGCCACACCCCAGGCACTGGGGCGCTGGGGACTCAGGGGTAATACAGAGTCCTAGCCTCAGAGCCTGCATATGGGAGGGAGGGAAAAGCTTAAATAGCAGGAGGGAAGACTGAGGGAGGAGGCTGGGGTCGGATTATAGTTAACTGTGACAGCCATGGGTGACAGAGATGACTATCCGTCCTCCAAAAGTGTCACCGTTTCTCTTCCAGATTGTGAAGTTTGTTGCTAGGAGTTGACTGCCCAACTGAACTGTATTTGCCACCTTCGTTTCATCCAGTCTATCCACAGGACTATTCCTCAACAATGAGATATGAGTGGGTGTGATGGCATCACTTCTGGGCCAGGGCTTTTAAGAAGCAGATGGGACTTTATCATTCTCTCCTTCTTTTGGTGGCTAGAAACAGAGGACTCTGAAGCCCTAAGGGACATCAGAAAGATGACAAGAAAGAAGGAGCCTGGCTTCCTGAGTCACTCCATGGAGGAAAGTCCTCCACCCCTATCCCCACTCTCTAGATTATTATTTGAGTGAGAAAAAAAAAAAAAAAACTTTCATTGTGCTAAGCCATTGATATTTGGGGTTTATTTGTTATAGCAGCCAGCCGTTGTTACCCTGACTAATATATACCACACAAAGGAGGACCGGTCTTTCTCATGCAGATACATCGTATCAGCAGAGAGGCGTATGCTGTGTGTACTTTGAAAGTGGTGCTGTGTCAAAGACTAAATGGGAACGCAGGAACACCAGAGGAAAGCACGGCAGGGATCCAGTTAAAGAATGGAGAGGAAGACCAAGAGGAGAACATAGGGTCTTGTAGGATTGGATGTGAACAGAGGGGCAGAGTCAATACTGAGACTTCAGACTGGAGCTAGAGAGCTGGTGACTGTTCATCAGGCAGCACGGGCACAGACAAGGAGGAGCAGGCTGGGGGGGAGGGGGTTCATCTCAGCCTGTTAGCGTCCACTCACCTGGGTGAGAGCCGTGACTCTGTTGCCCATGTCTGGGAGAATGGGGGGCTCGTCGCCCACTTGAAAGTCAAAGTAGACGGTCTTGTGAGAGAAGGTGGAAAACTCATTACTGAAGCAAAACTGATAAACGCCCTTGACCTCAGCCTGGTGTGTGAAGCTGTCATACTGCTTCTTAGTTTCCCTGTAGATGGTGTTCCCCAGGGGGTCCTCCACATAGCAGTCGACGTCGTAGTGGCCTCCAGTGATGACCTGACAACCACAAAAGACACCCACAGTCTGCTGTTACCAGAGAGGCAAACACCACTTACCAAAGGCCGACCAGGCACTGTGATTACATGTCACAAACATTTTTTTCATTTAATCTTCACAGCCTTCTAAAGGCTGACACTCCCCAATTTACAGAGGATGACACTGAGGCTGAGAGAGTTGAAGTTAACTGGCCATGGTCATGCCGCTTGAAAGTGACAGAGCTAAGACTTGAATCCATGTCTGCCTGATTCCAAAAGTTTTGCTCTGCAAGAGCCTAATCCTCCCCATTTTACAGAAGAGGTAACTGAGGCCCCGAGGTTAAGTAAACTGCTGAACGTGTCTGGTAAACGTTAATATTATTGCTGATGGAATGCAAGGGGAAAGCAAACATAGACTGAAGCCTTCACAGAATCAGTGATTACCAGAGGTGGGAGAGCCCTCGGGAATCATTAGTTCAAACTCTCAACACAGGAAAGATAAGACCTGCAAAGGGTAAAAATCACAGAGGTGGTCAATGACTATAACTAAGGTCCATCAAAGAACACAGTCAGTGGCCTCCATCTGCTTCCAAATGTTAAAATTTCCTTTTGTTCAGATGGAAGAAGTTGCTTTGTGATTAGTGAGCTTCCTAATGCTGGAGGTGTGTAAACTTATGCTGAACCTGCTCTAACAGGGGTTCCTGACCTGGCAGGGACCAGATGACCTCTCAGCCCCCTCCATCCTCACAACGATCATGTTTTGGTGACTGTATCTAGGTTACCCCTGTTAACCCAGCTGCAATTTCCACACTGTCCACGGACATGTGAAAGTGGCAACACCAGTGACTTGTGCTGTCCCCAAGCACACGCCTCTTTTAGTGGCTTTGGTCAGAGAGGGCCCACCACATGGCCTGCCCCTACTCCTGCTTCCCGTGCCAACTCATCTCTGTAACGCCTGTCAGTATGTGTCCACAAGCAGACGCGGGTCTGGGTATAATTCCCACTCAGCTCCCTACTCTTAGATCTGCTCACTCAACCTTAGGGGCAAATCTCTCACTCAAGACCTGCTCCCCTGAACTGTGAGTCGTGAAATCTCTCAAAGGAGCCAGGACTGCAGGAGCTAGGAGCTTTTCCGAGCCATATGGCAGCAGCCACAACACCACTCCTTGGAAACACTGCCAGGGCTCAAAGCCTGCGCTGACACCTCCTTTCCAAAGCGCCATTTCTCATCACTGGCCGCGCTCACCCCAACTTGACTTCAAACACTGGAGAGAGGGAAAAATAATGCCAAGGACCCACTTCCTCTCGCTGCCATTTTTCAGTACAGGCGGGGACAAACTGGTCCAAAAAACTTGGGACAGAGAGTCTGTGTCCAGCTAATCAGACATGGCAGTCCTTAGAGTCAAGGGGCCTGCAGGTCATTGAGGACAACTCCCCAGGATGCAGGACTCGCCCCCGGGCATCCGCATCCAGGTAGCGCACCTTTGGCGCTACCTCCCGCCCTGGGTAGTCGGGCCTGTCTCGAGTGGGCTCTGACTTCCTCGCGGGGAAGTCAGCTGGTCTCTGGTCATTCCCGCCCCATTCAGCCTCTTTGGCTAATTCCAGCCACTCCAGCCTGGGGCGCACCAGTGACCAATGGAGACCTGGAAGGGGGAGAGGAGGCGCTGCCGGGCGCCAGGGCCTCACCTGGTAATCCAGGGAGAACTTCACGCCCTGCTCCACGTCCTCGTGGAAGCACTGCTTGGCGTTGTCAGGTAGCTCGAAGGTGAGCTCCGCGCCCCGCGGCCGCTCCGCCTGCAGCAGCAGCAGCAGCAGCAGCAGAAGGGGCAGCGCGCAGGCGGAGCGCGAGGCCACGCTGCCCATGATGCTCCCGGTCCAGTCCCGTGGGCGGCGGCTCGGGCGTGTGCTCCTCGCGGATGGGACGGTGGCTGGGGGACCAGGGATAAGGTGCAGGGACAGACGTGGCGCTTGCGGGGCGCTGCGCTTCCGGGAGGGCGGGAGGCTCAGCGCGCAGCCGCGCGCTCGGGGGTGGTCCCGGGACCGAGGCCAGAGAGCGCCGCGGCCTCCCCCCGCCCCTTCTGCCCGTTGCGCCTGCGCGCTGGCTGGGCTGGCAAAGGGGACACGCCCCTTCCCCCGCCCCGCGCTGTTCTGCTGGGGCGTCTCGGCGAAGGTGAGGCGGGACGCCCATCCCCAGCGCGCACCTCCCCGGAAGGGCCCTCTGCCAACATCCCCGACAGACGTTTTCTGCATCTTCTGGGACCCGCAGGCTTGAGGATTACCCGGAATTGGCCCAGGTCCACGCAGTCCATCCTCTCTGGCTGCAGCAGCACGAAGCCCATGGGGTTTTACAAGGTACAGGCTCTGCTTCTGACTGGCTCTGTAACTTGCCTCACGCTTCTCTGGAGAATCAGTCTCCTGGTCTAGAACTGGGTGTGCCCAAACCTACTATCCACAATAGCAAGGAAGGCTAGAGGAAAGATATGCAAACTCTGGGGACCCAATTAACACCCCCTTTCTCATTCCCATCCCCTTCCCAAGGTGAAAAAGTATGCCACGGGGCAGGGGGGGTTGATGGGTGAGAGTAAGTGAAACCCCACAATTACATCTGTTCTGGGGAAAACCGGCAGGCGTGCTCACACACAAAGCTTCCTGAAGCTTCCTGAAGATACGAATACAGGTCTCTCACTCAGGGATTTCAGGTATCTCTTGGTTGTCTGTATAAGTTGAAGGTTCTTCTGGGACAAAACAATCTTTTTTTTTTCCCTTTGACTTCTCAAAAGCGCTGAAAGCAGATAAATTAATTTACTGTCTTATCTATTACCATTTACCTAAGAAGATATTTTGTATAATCATTACTATAGCGTTTTATATTCACTATGATCAGGTAAAGACAAAGAAAAAAAGATTGTAGTCTCGCTACTCAGTAAAGAATTTTTTTCAGAACATCATTAGGTGAGGTGTATCTTGATTTTAGCAAAGAGTTTTACTACCTATATAGGTCTCCACGTGGATAAGACCGAAGTGTCCTGTCACTTAAAAAGCTTTTGCACAGCAAAGGAAATCATAAGCATGATGAAAAGACAACCCTCCAAATGGGAGAAAATATTTGCAAATGAAGCATCTGACAAAGGATTAATCTCCAAAATATACAAGAAAAAACCCAATCCAAAAATGGGCAGAAGACCTAAATAGACATTTCTCCAAAGAAGATATACAGATTGCCAACAAACACATGAAAGAATGCTCAACATCACTAATCATTAGAGAAATGCAAATCAAAACTACAATGAGGTGTCACCTCACACCAGTCAGAATGGCCATCATCAAAAAATCTACAAACAATAAATGCTGGAGAGGGAGTGGAGAAAAGGGAATCTTCTTGCACTGTTCGTGGGAATGTAAATTGATACAGCCACTATGGAGAACAGTATGAAGGTTCCTTAAAAAACTAAAAATAGAACTACCATATGACACAGCAATCCCACTACTGGGCATATACCCTGAGAAAACCATAATTCAAAAAGAGTCATGTACTAAAATGTTCATTGCAGCTCTATTTACAATAGCCAGGACATGGAAGCAACCTAAGTGTCCATCGACAGATGAATGGATAAAGAAGATGTGGCACATATATACAATGGAATATTACTCAGCCATAAAAAGAAATGAGATTGAGTTATTTGTAGTGAGATGGATGGACCTAGAGTCTATCATACAGAGTGAAGTAAGTGAGAAAGAGAAAAACAAATACCGTATGCTAACACATACATATGGAATCTAAAAAAACAAAAAAACTGGTTCTGAAGTACCTAGGGGCAGCACAGGAATAAAGACACAGATGTAGAGAATGAACTTGAGGACACGGGGAGTGGGAAGGGTAAGCTGGGACAAAATGAGAGAGTGGCATGGACATATATATACTACCAAATGTAAAATAGATGGCTAGTGGGAAGCAGCCTCATGGCTCAGGGAGATCAGCTCAATGCTTGTGTCCACCTAGAGGTGTGGGATAGGGAGGGTGGGAGGGAGATGCAAGAGGGGAGAGATATTGGGATATATGTATATGTATAGCTGATTCACTTTGCTATAAAGCGGAATCTAACACACCATTGTAAAGCAATTATACTCCAATAAAAATGTTAAAAAAAATTCTGATCTCTATGTCTGTGAGTCTGTTTCTGTTTTATAGACACGTTCATTTGTGCTATATTATAGATTGCACATCTAAGTGATATCATATGATATTTGTCTTTCTGACTTTCTTCACTTAGTATGCTAATCTCTAGTTACATCCATGTTGCTGCAAATGGCATTATTTCATTCTTTTTTATGGCTGAGTAGTATTCCATTGTATATACATACCACATATTCTTTATCGCTTCATCTGTTGAGGGACATTTAGGTTGTTTCCATATTTTGGCTGTTGTGAATAGTGCTGCTGTGAATGTAGGGGTGCATGTATCGTTTTGAATTATAGTTTTGTCTGGGTATATACCCAGGAGTGGCATTGCTGGATCACGTGGTAATTCTATTTTTAGTTTTCTGAGGAACCTCCATACTGTTTTCCGTAGTGGCTGTACCAACTTACATTCCCACCAGCAGTGTAGGAGGGTTACCTTTTATCCACACCTTCTCCAGAATTTGTTATTTGTAGACTTTTTAATGATGGCCATTCTGACCGGTGTGAGGTGGTACCTCATTGTAGGAATACTAAACACTTTAAGTTTTATAAATGAAGGATAAAAAAGATGAAGATATGAATTTTTAGAGTAACAATTCATGTTTCTGCATTGGGAGACTTAATCTTTTAAAATGTTAATTTGCACTGAAATAACTAAATGTCAAAGAATCCCAGTCATAATCTCAGAACATTTTTAACATTTAATAAAATGATTTTACGAAATAATTTGTCCAATGAGAATTGAGAATGAATGTGACTCACCATTTGTGAAAGTGAGTTAAAACCCTACAGTAATTAAAATAGATGCTCTGATATGGAACAGAAAGACAAATACACCAATGGAGTGTAATACAATGGAACAGAATGGGGTGGAATGAAGTGGGATGGGATGAAATGAGGGAGTTTAGAAACAGACTCAAGAATTTTAAAAGCAGGAATTTAGCATGTTACAAGGATATTTTAAATCAGTGAATGATATCAAGATACTTTTAGATTCAAGTAAATTTTTTAAACTCCAACTAGATTACATGATATATAACTTATATTAAATAGACTATAGAATTCTAAAATATACTACTCATATCATATATATCAAAAAATATACCATTGAATATAGCAGAAAGTTCAGAGGTGAATTCAGCTTCAGGCATAGTGTGATAAGGGCTCCAGTCCATTTCCCTGCTTTTCTCTTGGCTACTCCCTCCTCTGCATGTTGGCTTTATTCTTAGGCTCTATTATTTTATTGTCACAAAAAGGTTGTCAAACCAAACAAACAAGCTTGAGCAACATGTTTATTTAGTCATGTCTATCAGAAGGAAGAGAAATATTTCCTTCACTCATGACCTGTATGTCCTTTCCTTCAGTACAGTTGGGCCAACTTAGGTCATGTGCCCATATCTGGATCTAAGCCACTGACAAGGGGAAAGTCATGTACTGATTGGCTTAGGCTGGATCCTTTAGCCAATCACTGATAAGGAGAATGGGGATTGTCATAATTAACTCAGACCAATCAGGGCTTCCCTTGGAGCTCGGGATGAAGTCAAAAGGGCTGCAAGGATACAGGGTGACTGACTACATACACAAAATCAGGATCTAATGAGAAGGAGAAGGGAGGATCAAACTGGGTAGGCAACAATATCCAACTGAAGCAAAGAAAGGATTAAGTACTGATTAAATTGTAATGGGATAATTTAAAAATGTATTTAGACCCTTACCTCTCACCCCATGAGAAATCATTTTTGCCCTCGGTCAGGAGTGTCTGTGATTCTGGGTCCATCATCCCAGAGGAGGCAGAGGACTCCAGAAGGGACAGCCAGGTGGGCTTCTTTCATCAGGCTATTTGGACTGGTTCACACTGGCAAGACCTTGTCCATGAAAAATCTAATCAATAGTCAATCTAAGAAAAAAATGGGAAATTTTATTCGAGCCAATCTGAGTATTATAACCCAGAAGACAGTCTCTCCAAGAGTTCTGAGAACTGTTCCAAAGGGGTAAAGGAGGAAGCTAGCCAAAATGTGATTTTGGCAAAGGCGGTACCTGCAGTCAGGCACACATCTTTCTCAGTAGAAGGTTGCTGCGAGTCACAGTAGCAGACATCTTGGTTAATGGTTTTAGTGCTTTTCTAAGTATGGGAAGATCCAAGAATCCAGGTTCATAAAAAATTTCTGCTAAAGATACTATCTGAGGGCCGGTTCTGTCAGTTTTCCCAGAGCACAGAGTGCCTCATCCTGATCTTCACCCTGAATTCCTTTCAGGGTGTGTCGTAGGTCAGCAACTGCAGTGGTGAATGACTTGATTCTTGCAGAACTAGAGATGGTGGGCAACAGTCTTTATTTGACAGTCCCTTCCCTTTTACTCTTTTTTTTTTTTTGTTTTACAGCGGTACGCGGGCCCCTCACTGCTGTGGCCTCTCCCGTTGTGGAGCACAGGCTCCGGATGCGCAGGCTCAGTGGCCATGGCTCACGGGCCCAGCCGCTCCGTGGCACGTGGGATCTTCCCGGACAGGGGCACGAACCCGTGTCCCCTGCATCGGCAGGCGGACTCTCAACCACTGCGCCACCAGGGAAGGCCCGTTTTACTCTTAATTTCAACCAACGTTTGGGGAGCATTTTGTGACCAATTTGTCTCATGGCACTAGGAATGCTCATTCCCAGGTCAAGTGAGGATTTTGTTGATAGGTCACTTTACATGCTATTACTGGACTATGCTCTGTTAGCAATAGCCAAAAGCCTCTGGATCACCTATCTTACGGTTATGGTCCAGGAAATGGTTCCCTCTTATTGCTTCTTTCCATATCTAGAGTTACACTATTACAATCGTTGATCTTATAGGACTATATATTTTGATCAATCATTGCAAACTGCCCAATCATCATTAATTTTATCTGTGGCTCCGTCACACATTTGGTAATGCAATAAACGATAATCTTGTGAAACAGGCAGAATGCAAGTAATATGACTAGCGACATTCATAGGTCATAGGGATTTAAGCTAAGCACTTCCATTAGGTGAGGCCCAGTATCTCCCAAGGTTCCTACCATTCGGGAGGTCTGGTTAACATATAATGCAGTTGCACAGTGCACACCGGAGTGGGGGGTGGAGAAAGAGGTCAAAGGACAGAGAAAAAGGTTTGATGTTTCCATTTTTCTTGTCTTGCCTTAAAATGTGAATTTTTATTTCATCAACCTTGACCTCTTCTAGCCTTTCACTTCTTTCTCTTCTCTTCCTCTCCCCCGACCCCAATCCTCATGCGTAATGATTACCCTTTTCTCCGATGAAAATTGCTAGATTTTTAACTCTGTGCTTTCGCAGTCAGTCTACTGGAATTGGATCACAACATCACCTTCAGCTAAGGTGTCCTGGTGAGAATCACCAGACACTTATTCCTGTGTTGACTTATTAGATAATGCTACAGTTCTAAAATACTTACCTCCTTTCTTTTTCTGAGATCTGCTTCTTATTCTTGATGTCTTGCCGCAGATAGATTCCAAGTGTGAGCAAGTTTTCTTCCTTCCCACTGCATGCGTGCCATTTTGTAACTTGGACCATAGTGTTGCAGGAAGGGGAATCCCTTCAACGGCCCAAGAATGGACTCTTGTCTAACACTCAGAAATGAATTGTCTGAGGAGACACACGTGCTGACAAAGCAGGACACTACTGAGAAGGGAAGCCCGGGCGGAGGGCAGCCGGGTAAGCGAACCCAGGGGGACTGCTCTGCCACGTGTCTCGCAGTCTCGGGTTTTACGGTGATGGGGTTAGTTTCCGGGTCGTCTCTGGCCAATCGTTCTGACTCAGGGTCCTTCCTGGTGGCACATGCATCGCTCAGCCAGGATGGATGCCAGCGAGGAAGATTCTCTGAGGTTGGGAGGACATACAGACTGGTGTCTCCTTTTGACCTTTCCTGAATTCTTCCAGTTGGTGGTAGCTTGTTAGTTCCACGTTCCTTACCAGGACCTCCTGTGGTAAGATAACTCATGCAAGTAGTTACTATCCTGTTTGGCCAGGGCCTGGCGCTTTCCATCAGTGGTTCCCCTAACAATAGGACACGGACTGCTGTGAATTTCACCTCATTAACCTTTGGATGTGAGAAATGTCCCATTTCTTTACTTTGCTAAATCCAGTTAAAATTGACTGTATTTCCCAACCCCTCCTTCCCAACACTGATAAGAAAATCCATCTCAGCCATGGGGGAGCTCTCTCCACTGTGTCCTGTAGATGCCTTAAGCAGTGCACAGCCTTCAGGTTCAGGGAGCCCTGGGGTCCTTGTGCCGATGTGTTCACTGTCCAAGCTCCAGTGTTTCTTCAAGGCAAGTGCATCAGCTGCCCTCCTGCCCAGCTTGACCCAGGCCCATTCTCCCAAGATGCACATGTCAGCTACAAATTGGCACTTGTCGTGAGCACTTGCCATCTACCTCTACAAGGATTAAAGCAGGTGCCGCTGCAGCTGCTGACTTTCAACACCCCCTGCAAGGAGTTCAGGTGGAGATCGGGAATGAGGCCCTCTGTGCTCTGGGGAAAACTGGGGGAACAGGTCTTCAGATAGTGAGATATCTTCAGGAGCCAATTTTATGAGCCCAATTCTTGCATCTCCTCATATCTAGAAAAGCTCTAAATTCCTTCATGGTGACATCTGCTCCTCGTGACTAGCAGTAACCCTCAGGAGACTAGCAGAACCTTCTGCAAAAAATATGTGCTTGGGCTTCCCTGGTGGTGCAATGGTTAAGAATCTGCCTGCCAATGCAGGGGACACGGGTTCGAGCCCTGGTCCGGGAAGATCCCTCATGCTGCGGAGCAACTAAACCCGTGCACCACAGCTACTGAGCCTGCGCTGTAGAGCCCACGAGCCACAACTACTGAGCCTGTGTGCCACAACTACTGAAGCCCACACGCCCAGAGCCCGTGCTCTGCAACAAGAGAAGCCACCGCAATGAGAAGCCCGTGCACCGCAATGAAGAGTAGCCCCCGCTCACCGCAACTAGAGAAAGCCTGTGCACAACAAAGACCCAACTCAGCCGAAAACAAACAAACACATTTATTTTAAAAAAAACGTGCAAACTGCCAAGTATATTAAAAAATATATATATGTGCTTCATTGTATGTACACCCCCTTCACCAAAATCACATATATACTGACCTTCCCCCCTGCCTCTTTGGAGCAGTTTCTCAGAGCTATGTGAAATGCTGTCTCCCAGGCTGCAGTCCTCATTTTGCCCCAAATAAAACTTAACTCGCAACTCTCACGTTGTACATTTTTTTAAGTCAACACACATCTAGCCACTCCCCTCTAAGGTTTTGCTCTGGAAAGGAGCAAGTTCCACACAAGGGACCCCAACTTCTGAGCCTCCTATAATCTTGGGAATGTACTCCCTCACTCGGGGCGGGGGTGGGGGGGCTTGTCCCTCATCACACCTCCACCTCCCCCAGCACTTTCTTCTCCTCCCAGGGGGTCCCTCCTAATCTCTCCTCAGAGGAGCTGGAAACAACATTGACCTCCCTTTCCTGCAGAAAGAAGTGAGGAAAAGACATGCTCAAACTAGTCCTTTCCCCTCCCCCGCTTTTTAAAAAATTTTTAATGGAGTATAGTTGTGTACAATGTTGTGTTAGTTTCTGCTGTACAGCAAAGTGAATCAGCTATACATATACATATATCCCCTGTTTTTTGGATTTCCTTCCCATTTAGGTCACCAGAGTATTGAGTAGAGTTCCCTGTGCTATACAGTAGGTTCTCATTAGTTATCTATTTTATACAGAGTAGTGTATATATGTCGATCCCAATCTTCCAATTCATCCCACCCCCGCTTCCCCCCTTGGTAGGCATAAGTTTGTTCTCTACATCTGTGTCTCTATTTCACTTTTGCAGATAAGTTCATCTGTACCATTTTTCTAGATTCCAAATATAAGCGATATTATACGATATTTGTTTTTCTCTTTCTGACTTACTTCACCCTGTATGACAGTCTCTAGGTCCATCCAGGTCTCTGCAAATGGCACTATTTCATTTATTTTTATGGCTGAGTGATACTCTATTGTATGTGTATAAATACCACATCTTCTTTATCCATTCGTCTGTTGATGGACACTTAGGTTGCTTCCCTTTTCTCCCCCTTGCTAACTGTAGTGTAAGCCTGAGAGCTGGCTTTTCTTTTTGCCATGCAAGTGCCTGACTTAATTTTGATGTCTGAGGCATCCACTTCAAAGGGGGCCTCCACCTCAGAGATGCCTATCTCGATAAATACACATTGCCAGCCACAAAGGACTAAATAAAGAGCCAGGTCATGCCCCCACCACTCCCCAGCTTTGTTTTAGAGATCTTGGTTGATTTCAGTGACTGACCATTTGGGCCCCTTGTTTTTTCTCTTCTCACACTTTAAATTCCTTCTCTTATGTTTTAAATTCACTCATAAAGAGTGAGCCCATGAAACCCTAGGTCCTCAGCTTGGACCCCAATAAAAGCAGAACCCCAGGCCTGGGCCCTCTGTCTACCCACAGCCTCACTGTGTGACCCCAGGTGTGCCACGTAATTTTCAGGACCTGTAAGCAACAAACCTTTTTTTTTCAAAGTTTCCTGATGATTATTGCTGAGGGCTTCTTGCAACCACAATAAGAACCACAAGGGCTGGTCCAGCCATAACATTGGTTATCAACAGGCTGAGACGGGCACAAAACAATATAATTTATTTCAACCGTCTAGGAAGGAACCTAGGGGTAAGGTTTGGAACTTTCCAGGGAATCAGGAAGTCTGGATGAAGTCTGAATCACAGAATTCTAGAGTTTAAGAGAGAAGAGAGACCATCCACCTGGTTTATTTGATACTTACCAGCCTGCCCTGGAGTAAGAGCTAAGAGAAATCAGCTTATATTAACATTCATGGACATTAGAAATAGGGCCCAAGGAGGGATATCCAGGGACCTTACCAGTAGCAGATGGCAGGTGCAACCCTGGGGGGAACTGAGCAGAAGGGCCAGAGGAAAAGAATTCACCCCCATTGCGGCAATGCACCTTCTCATTCTTAGCTTTTTTTTTTAAACCAGAAAAGAAACTATAATACCTGTGTAGTTAAAAATTCATTTTCTAAATCACGTGTACATAAAATAGTAGGTGTTTGCTCAGGTCGATGTTACCAGGCAGTCATGCCAAACCCATCTTAAGGAAAAGGTAATATGTATAATTGAGATTTCACTAAGAAAAATGGGAAATACTTACTATTGAAGGATCGTAATATATCTTTTATTGACATATTAGAAATATCTAAATAGTTCCATTACATGGATTTTGATACATCCTTGAGCACATCGTCAGCTCGAGACTAGGATAGAACACGGTAGAGAACCAGTTCAAGCAACACACGATACATCTGAAGTACCAACACACACAAAGGAGGAAGGTCAGACAAAACCTGCGTTTACTTGATGATATTCTAAGAGGCTCGACGATGGACTTAAGCAAGCAGACAAAGGCTTTAGAATGTCTAGAAATTGAACCCAAATTCCAGATTTGAAACCTTAGACTCACATTCTATAATATATTTTGATAAACATTCCAGAGAGTCTTAAGTAGATGGGTTATTGAAACTAGTTTGTGGCTATCTTCTGTAGTGACCCTAGGCTCCCCCAAATCTCTGATCTAGGAAGCGTGATTCAATCCAAATATGCTTTTAAAAAGCATTTCTCTGAGGTTTGTTAACACGAAGAAAATTGCCCATGTATGCATTAACCGTGATTAAGTATTGCAGTGGTTGTACTAGTTTGGAACAGTCTAGTTCAACTAATGCATCGTCAGATAGTGATGAAACAAGGTACTATCCTGATGACTGTCTATAGAAAGGCCAATGGAAAGGTCACAACTGATGGATGCAGGCAGTAAGTGGCATGAGCGTACCTGCTGTTACGCATCTGTGTGACGGATGGACAGGCTATTCCAAACGGGCAACTCATCATGTTTAGTGTTTCACCTAAGCTAATTGCTATGAATGTACCACATTCACTACTTAGGATAAATTAGGCTTTCAAATCTTAGCTAAAGGTTTAGAAAAATTCCCTTATGCAGTGTCTTGCTCTCGCCCCAGTTAGATACTATCAATACTGGCAGACGTTAGTTTTAACTGACACTGACGACCATTGGAAAAGTACTTAAAATGTGTAGTGTGTGTGCGTTCCTTTAATGAGCTGCTGAGAACAGTGGTTGTCTGTCTGGTTCTCTCTTTAATACATCAGAATTGTTGCTTTGCCTGTAATCATGGCCAGTTGGTGAGACCTATTACCATCTAAATGGTCCTGAAGAGCGTATGGGTTGGGACACTCAACCGAGGTCATGAGCCCTAGAGTTTCACTAGCTTATGTGCTATTCTTCTCATTTTCTTCCCTTCCTGCCAAGTACAAGAGGCCATTAGCACTGAGGTCGAGAATCCTGAAGGCGCACGTTGTATATGAGTCATCTTACTAAGTTACAGTTTGAATTGCCCTGAAGTTAGTGGAACAGCCTAGCCAGCCAGCCAGACCTACACCTTCATGCAGTTTGGTTGCTCTTGGCATATTTCTACCGTGTACACAATCGTTCTCCTAGAGCAGTGGTGATCAGCTAAGGTGATATCACCTCCAGGAGATGTCTGGCCACGTCTGAAAGCGTTTTTGGTTGTCACAGTTTAGGATGAGGATGCTACTGATATCTAATGGGTAGAGACCAGGAATGCTGCTAAACAACTTACAACGTACAGGACAGTCTCCCACAGGAAAGAATTATCCAGCCCGAAAGACCCATAGTGCCGAGGCTGAGCACGTGCCTGCCCTAAAGGAATTACTAAAGAACAAACACTCCGTGTATTTATAACCATCATTAGCACTTTTGATTGGGATATACAGATACATTTCTAGCAAATGTCATTATAGAAATGGTCTGATATGCAGAGCTTCTGTGGCAGAATTTCTTTTACTCTACAAGTGAGTTTAAGGCTCAGTATTGACAGAACCCCTGAGAATCTCAAGGGGCCCTTTGAATCTTTCAGCTAGACTTTGCTTCCCTTTGTGTAGGGTATTAGGTATTATTTGAGATTTTGAGGCTGCGGAGGTCTAAAGGAGTATGAAAATCAGCTGCCTCGTTTCCAATTACTCCTAGCTGTGCCAGGCACAGTTACAGGCACTTTCATACATTATCTCATTTAATTCTCACCACACACTTGTAAGGTGAAGCATTACTAACCCCATTTTACAGATGAGGGAGTGGAGGCTGGGAGAAGTTAAGCCACTTCCTCAAGGTCACGCAGCTGGTAAATGATGAAATAGAGATACAAACCCAAATCTCAAAGTCTCTCCTCTTTCCTCTATGTGATGCTATCCCCAAGGACTACTGAATTTTTTTAACCATAGAGCAAACATATCTAAGCAGCATGAAAGAAAACAATAAATGGGAAAATAACCAGAAATATCTTCATCTAGAACGTGGCTACATTACACCAAACGTGCTAAATGTCTGCTTCCGTTCTTGGGTTCGTACAAAGTGGCTTGAAAAGGTTGTACAGGTTATTTCTACAAATCTCTCATCACATAGATAATTCAGGCAAAGAAGAAACCAGATGTTCTTGAATTTCCCAGAAAAGTGAAGGGGAAGTGACAGTTTGCATCCCTTAAAATTTTCAGGCTACAAGTGGTCCCCACTGCCTCTGGCCTGAGAACCATCTACTCTACCTTGTAATATGTGCATCTCCCATCACCATGTATCATTCTAGTTTGGAGAGATCTTACCAAGTTTTTTTTTTTAAAGAATAATCAGGAAACGCTTCTTATGGGTCTATTCTATGAGTTGTATGTACAAAACTCCAAATTAGCCAACAGCCCCTGACTGTTTTTCACAAGATTTCAACACAGAACCTGTGTCAGGGCAGGAGGCCAAGGCCAGTTTCATTTCTGGGCAAGATTCGTCTCTGAGGCACCAGCTACTGCGACACAACAGAATTTGGGGGACACGTAGATCTAATATTTGGGGACTCAAAGCACACCCGAATTAGTACGTGGATAAAGCCTGTTACCGGAGTTCTGAAAGATCTCAACTATGCTACACTAGCCAGTGCCCCATGACATGGTAAGAGGCAGGACCCGAATGCCAGAACCTCTCTGATGGGAGAATTCTACTTCTGTTCCTCCAGATGTGACACAGATACCCATATTTAACAGCCCAAAGATCGGTTTTGAACTTTTGCACATTCGAAAAAGCCTCGTTTTCTTTATAGGCACTTTATAGATTTATTACCCATGACGTCCTCCAGATACCATCTTGTGATTTAAATTGTTTGTCTGGTAGAAAATAATGGGCGTCAGCCGCTTAGATCATTGTACCTGCGGTGTGACTTTCAAACTCCAAAAGTTTTCTTCCTTCGGAGATTTTTTCATCTCCAAAACCCAATTATACTGGGCTCTTTTCAAGTAGGCCTATAAAAACCCAGATGTTCTTTCAGAAGGGAAGCAGCACCGTTTCCATCTCTCCTGAAGCAGCCACACACCCACAGTAAGGAGTGATCAAGATGCAGAGACTCTGCATGACCGTGTTGGTCTAGATTATGGTACTTTTCATAAACTACGTAGATTTAAAAAAAAAAAAAAACCTCACTGAAAAAGCTTCTAGGTCATGATTTCTTCAAAGTCAGACAGCTGCTTCATCTGTTCAACTTGCATAGAATGCCTTCTGAGGAGCTTCCTTTTACTTCTCAAGTCAACTCTCTTTGGTGAACTTGGAGCAACAGGTACCATGGATTTTAAGCCACTAGCAAGTGGAGAGGAAGGTTTGCTGCTCGATCTAATATCCGGGATAGGTGGGTTCAGATTTACATTTAAAGGCGGAAGGAAGCCAGGCCTGGTCTGGGAAATTCGGTCTAGTAGCAGAGTTCCGGAACCCCGTCTTTCTAGAAGATGGGGTGGCCTGTGGCGCGCTGAGCTGGGAGATGTGCAGGACGCAGCATCCAGGGCCTCCCTGGAGCCCTGGAAATGAGACAAGTGGGAGTTGTTGAGCTTCTTCCAATCTAAGGGTCCTTTGCCTGATTCAAGGGAGATGGAGTTGGGCGGATCGGCCCCTGGCTGTAAATCTAAATCATAGAGGTCATTTTCCAGCCGTTTGAGGGACGCTGCATCTTTGAGAGCAGAGGGGCCTGATGGGCCAATGCCACCCTTCTCTTGGTCAATAGGGAGAGTTCCTCTTCTGGCCAGACGTGGGTGGGGAGGCTGACTTTTCTCGTAGGCTGCCTTCCACGAGGCTGGTGCCGAAGAGACTGGAATCTTCAGAACCTGCTCCGTGACCGTGAGGAAGAGGCTGGGGTCTTTGCCATCAGTGCTGTTGGTTCTGGAAAGGGGGCCCCTTTTGGGGAAGGACATGTCACTGATGCTCTTGATGACCTCGCTGTCTGCACCTGCGCCATGGCTCTCCTCCTGGCGCATAGAGGCGGCCAACACGGAGGGCGCGGTCAGGCCCCAGGGCTCAGATTGGAGCCTCTTCAGTTGAGGCAAACGGGCCCTTTTGAGGTTCCCGACCTTCCTAGTGAGTGACCCAGGATCATTAGGAGACTTGGAGGTGTTGCAACCACCTGGATGCCCTGACTGGAGGCTAAAGAAGTCATCTTCCTTCTCACTGGGTGGAGAGCCCAGGCCTGGAGCCTTCAGTTCAACACCCGAGGGAGATGCACACCGTGGAGGTGACTGTCTGTCTTCCTCTTTGGGTGAAGGAGGGACATTAAGATACTGTTTGGTGGTTTTGGTGCCTGAAGACGATTTATCCGTTGTTATAATAATCACCTCCTTGCCTTTGGCTTTGCAGGCATCCAGGAGATGTTTCAATGCATCCTGGTCATCTGCATTTATTGCGTAAACCAGAGCTGAAGCCCCTGTGCGGTCCTCGAGGCTGGGGTCTGCTCCATTCTCCAGTAGCAAGGAGACCACTTCTCCCCCAGCTCTTCTGATGCAAGCATGGATGAGGGCGGTCTTGCCCGACTTATCCTGAATATTGGGGTCTGCCCTGTTGTCCAGCAGATACTTCACCATCTTGGACTTGCTGATGCTCTGCTGGTCCACATGTTTGGTGATACATGCCACCATGAGAGCCGTTTCGCCTTTGTCGTTGCTTTCGTTGATATAAGCACCCCCTTCCAGGAGGAGCCTGGTCAGCCTGAGCCTCCCCAGCCACACGGCCTTTAAAAGTGAGTTTCCATCCGTCCTTAATTCAGTGTTGTCATCCATCATACTGGCTACAGCTTAGAGTCTCTGAGCCACAGTGGCGATCAGACCTAGCAAGGGAAGAAGAGAGAAGAGGGTCATGTATTCTATAGAGCTGATCTGAGCAGCAAGGCTGTTAGAGACTCTGGATACAGCCGTGTCCCAGTTTGATCCCAAGTTATGCCACCTTGCCCGGTTATTTAACCTCTCTGGGTTTATTTCTTCATCTGTAACATGGCAGGGGTGACTGTGGTGATAGTGGCAAACTACCTGACTTTGTGAAGATTAAATGAGACACTGTACCACACGTAAAGCGGTTGGCATGATGCCTAGGAGAGAGCAATAAAACGTGCAAAGCTCTTACTGGGTTGACTGCATGACACTTATCACAAATGCAGTTTTGTGATAACAGAAACTTTGTTTTCTGTCGGCATCACTAAAGTCTAAGCTTCCATAAGGAAAGGTCTGAGTCTATCTTGTTCACTGTTGTAGCCTCAGCATTTAGCAATGAGTCACACTTAATTGGTTACCTCGTAAATAATGGTTTAATGCAGTGTAGTTCTAGGTGTGCATCAAAAAGACCAGTAGGAAATACGCCAAAATGGTGATAGGATTATGAAGAGTTTTCCTTTTTGCTGTACTTCCTAAACTAAACGTGTATCACCATTGTCGTAGGGGGGAAATATCGTAAAACAAAAGCAATCCAGCTGTCCATTTCCATGTTGTAGTCCCCACTATTCGAGCAGATGTCCGAGTTCTCATCCACCTCATTCAGGCTCTCAGAATAGCTCAAATAATGCAATGCTACGTCGTCCTCTCTGGTTGAACAGATCTGAGGCAGAGGATGGACAAGGGGATTGCCATTTTGCTCACGAATGTTAGGAAATAAAGCTCTTTCCAGAGCTCCCCCCGCTGAGGTCTGTCAAACCTGGGTTTTCTGCTTTGGTTCTCCTCATGTCAATTACCTAATTCCTGGACTCAGAGCTTCCAAAATGGGTGTTGGTCACGAGGTCTCCCACGAATAAGGAGAAATGGTCTCCCAGAATTGATGCCCTACCAGCCCCGGGTCCCTCACTGGCCATGCTCTGCCAGCATGGCCCCTCCATGTGGACTTTTTGTCCCTCAGGCTCCGCTGGGCAGGTGTCACAATGCCTGAGTTTTCCTTCTCTGATGCATGTCATCCTTCCTCTTACCCCACTACCCTGAGCAGTTATTGATCAATTTCTATTCCTCTATTAAACAGGAAGTCAGCAGCTTTTCTTGGCTAAAGTTGAGAGATGGGTGTATTGCCTTTTAAAACTTTTAATCCATGAATAGATACTTTGTTTAAAAGAAAAAAAAGCCCAAATCACAGTTAAGTATATAAAGAAGAAGAGTACCCTTTACACGCCCCCAGCCCACCTTGAAGCCACTCATCTCTTAAGAATTAACTGTGGTTAACAGTCTAGGTTGTATCTTTATGCTTCAGATCATTTTCTGCTTCTTCCAAATGCATTATTCTGATAATGCCATCTCAGTCTGATCTTGTTGCACTTGTGTTTGTGTGTTCCTATAAGATTTTCTGTAAAATCCCTACCATCCAAAGACACTGTATATTATTAAATGTATTCACAAGACGTTTGTTTCTGTCTCTTCAACTCTATGCTTCTTTCTTCAATCTCCTACTGAGTCCTTCCTCTCTCCCTCTCTGTCTCTACCCGCCTGCGCCCCCCAAATGTGGCCATTCTCTCTCATATGTTTCTGCCATTTTAACTCTTCTGTGGTCATATGATCATTTTATTACAGTTCTATGTGTCTATAAGCTTGTTAGTCCCCAAACTCTGGACATCTAAAGCGGAATTTTCAAGGGCTAAATAAAGAAAAGGCAATGTGCAGTGAAAACATGCTGTTTTCCATTCCATCCAAGGGGCCCTTCATCTCCTGGCCACACCTCTTCAGCATCTGCCCTGCTACTCCTGTTCTCTTTATACTCCATCTATCTTGAAATCTGGTCATTTCTCAAATGCCCCACTTTTTATTTCTCTTCCTTCTAACCCTGTTCATGTTTCTAACTCTAAGACCTCCCTGCTCTTCTTTAATTATTCATCATCCCTCAAATCTCAGCTCAAATGTTACTTCCTTTTTAATCAAGAGAAAAATCACTCAGGCTGGAAGGGAGAAAGAGGAATAAAATGACAACTGACTCATATCCAGACTATATAAAGAACTCCTACAAATCACTTCCTCCAAAAGAGGATACACAAATGGCCAATAAGCCCAGAAAAAGGTGCTCAGCCCTGTTAGTAATCAAGGAAAATCAAATTACAGCACAATGAGATACCAGTACACCCTCCAGCACAGCTAAAATTAGACCGACAGTACCAAGGATGGAGAAAGATGGGAAGATTCAGGAACACATTGGTGGGAGCACAAATGGCTCCGCTAAATTAATGCCTACACTCTGACCCAGTAATTCCATGCCTGGGCTTAGCTGTGTGCTAGACTGAAAAGCATGGCCACAAAGTCCTGCCATCCCAGTGTGCACACCACTTGCAATGAGGTCTTGCCTCTCCTCCCATGGAGAGGAGGCGTCAGCATGTGATCTGCTTTGACCAGTAAAATGCAGCAGAGCTAACTTTGTGTGACATTCAAGGCATGGCCCCAGTGAACCCTGCAGCTTCAAGATTTGCTCTCTTGGAATCCAACTGCCATGTGCAGAAGTCTGGGGTATCCCTAACCAGAAAGGACACAGGGCGCTTCAGCTGACAGCCCCAGCGAACATCAGAGTATGCCCGAGGCCATCTCAGGCCAGCCAAAGCCCCAGATGATTGCAACTGTGTGAGGGAACCCAGGTGAGGCCAGCAGAAGTTCCCAGAGGCTGGTCCAGATCGCAGAAATACAAGCAAACAAATGATTATTGTTTTAAGCCACTCATTTTGCAATACTTTGTTCTCAGGAATAGACTACTGGTAAATATGCGTAGCAGAACGTGTGCAGACACGATCCTGGCAGTGAAAACTGGAAACAACCCGTCAAGAAGAAAACAAAGAAACTGTAGTATATTCGTATTCATACACTGGAATATTATACATCATCTTTACGTTCTCTCTCGCTCTCTCTTGTGCGTGTGCTCTCTCTCTCTCTCTCTCTCACACACACACATGCACACACACGCACTCACACACACTACATACCAAAAGAAAAAAGTGGATACTGCATCCCCTGGGTTCAGCTTTCTCCGTTGAAGTATTGATCTGGTTCATCATCTGGGTCTACCTCCTCCCCATATCTCTGAGCCCCTCGAGGCAGGAAAACTGTCTTTCTCCCCCATCAGCTGTGTGATAATTTGAAAGTAAGATAAAGGAAAAGATGGAGGAAGGGAGGAAGAGAAAAAGGAAAGGAAGATGGGAAGGAGACGTGGGTGGAGCATTGGGTTATCTCTCTATGTTGTGTGTGGTGCAAATCACATAGCTCTGGACTACCTCGAAGTCTGGGGAGGGGGTGCAGGGAGTAGGGGAGGCAGGTAGGGGACAAAAGAGAAAAGGAAAGCGGGGAAGAAGATGGAATATCTGGGAGATGTTTCTCTCCCTTCACTTGGAATCAGTGGCCACCTCCTCCCCGGAGCCCAGGCTTGTCCCCAGTCAACACTGCCCTGGCCCCTAAGGAGAGAGCAGCATCTGAGTAGTTCTCTGAGGTCTGGAATGTCTAGCCCATCTATAGAGATAACATTCTCTGTCCACAGTGAGCTACTTTTTGGGTTGTCTCTAACCATTTTTTCACTGTGGGCCTCCCCACTGAAATTACTTAAATGACGAAAATGCAGGAGCTCCGTGTGAGGACAGAATCAGACCCTTCCCTCATTATTATTATTACTTTTTTGAAGATGTTGGGGGTAGGAGTTTATTAATTAATATATTTTATTTTTGCGGTGTTGGGTCTTCGTTTCTGTACGAGGGCTTTCTCTAGTTGTGGCAAGCGGGGGCCCCTCTTCATCGCGGTGCGCGGGCCTCTCACTATCGCGGCCTCTCTTGTTGCGGAGCACAGGCTCCAGACGCGCAGGCTCAGTAGTTGTGGCTCACGGGCCTAGTTGCTCCGCGGCATGTGGGATCCTCCCAGACCAAGGCTCGAACCCGTGTCCCCTGCATTAGCAGGCAGATTCTCAACCACTGTACCACCAGGGAAGCCCCCTTCCGTCATTCCTATAGCCCAGATAAAATGTGCTGCCTGAACATTAACTGTTGGTGTGCTGCATGTGCCTTACACTTTTCATGTCAAGAAAATTGGGTTGAAAAGATTGCAGTTCACACAGATGTAGAGAATGGACATATTGATACTGGGTGCGGGGGGAAGGAGGCGTGGGGTGAGTTGGGAGATTGGGATTGACATATATACACTACTGTGTATAAAATAGATAACTAATGAGAACCTACTGGATAGCACTAGGTAACTAATGAGAACCTACTGGATAGCACTAGGGGACTCTACTCAGTGCCCTGTGGTGACCTAAATGGGAAGGAAATCCAAAAAAGAGGGGCTATATGTATACTTATAACTGATTCACTTTGCTGTATAGCAGAAACTAACACAACATTGTAAAGCAACTATACTCCAATAAAAGTTAATTTAAAAAAATAAAAGTAAAAGATTGCAGTTCACGTAGCTGGTTGACAAGAGCCTTGCCAATGACGCCAGACTCACTGTATGTATCATCCCAGTTTCACACAGCCCTGTCTGCTTACCCTCTCTGGGGGTTGGCCGCTCACCTTGCTCTCTTGCCTGAGTGGCCTTAGCGAGTTCTATACCTCAGTCTTAGAGTCAGGACACTGCTGCTGCTGTCACTGCTACAGATGGCTGAGCCCCACACCTGGTTCCAACTGATCAGGAGAAACTGACTATTGTAGAAAGTGTTTCTCCAACAGCTGCCTGGAGAGACAGAATTACTCAGCTCAGAAGTGTGGGGGGATTAGTCCTTTGTAGAGCAAAATATTGACCAATGGGAGATGGGAAGTAGATGTCAGGAAAACGCTTTTCCCTTGCGTCTCCTAATAGCCTGGTTTTGGTGAGTTTAAAAGATTTGGGTGGGATGCAATGGATTATACAACTTCCGCAAGACTGAGCAATCAGTGCACTTGTCTTTAACACGTGAGTAGCTCAATAATGTAGTGCTTGTATTTGCTCTTCCTCTTGCCTGGCCTCGTGTTCCATTTCCCCTTATTCCTACTTCCCA